AAAGTAAAAATTATAATAATAACAAATTTTTTTAACATCCTTATTACCTTCAATAAATACAGAACAATATGTATAATACATAGTTATTAATGTATTATATTTATAATAAGAAGAAATGTTTTAATTATTATTGACAAATATTAACGAGGTATAATATTCTACACCATGTGTTCTTCCTTATATACATATATGTTATGCATATTTGTGACGCAAGAATTTAGTCGTCTCTCAATTGGTAAATCAATGATCTTATGGAAGTGATTGAAAATAAACAAGTATAGACAGTCACAGAGCTAGCCAAGATATTTTAATGTTACGTCGATCTAAGCAACTTCTTACACATTTAAAGCTGGATGAATTAACGATTAAAGTTGTGCTAACATTCATAGCATAAAGTTTTTCATCTATAAGAGGTAAGCACACAGAATGTTCACACATTTCCTTTGAAAACATTACAAGAAACATTTAACAGATTCAACGTGAGTATAACCTATTTTGTACTCGTCAAACTTTAATCATTTACAGAAGTAAACTTTATATTAACAAATGTATAGTTTATAATTGTAGATAGTATAAAATACTAAATAATTATCTAAATGTTACAATTATCTGCATTAGATAAACAAAAAATTCTTAATCATTTTTTGACATTTTCTGATATATATCTTTTTGTGAAATTGACAATACTTTTATTATTTACTTTAATTATAGATTATATTCTTTTACTACAGATTATATTAATTTAATTCTTACTTTCATATGAAAGATTAAAGTAATTCAATTCGTTTGTCGAAAATAGTAACCTTATTTTTACAAAGTATTTTGAACATATTTATTTTTTAAACGCAAAGAATACTGTAAAAATGACATGCATAATATATTCGATTCATATTTAAAATGTAGGAAACTAAAATTTATAAATGTGCATATGTGTATAACTTGATAAATAAGTTTATAGTTTATAAGTATGTGTATTTATTAATGACATATATATATCTTTGTAGATGTCACTAACCTTTCAACAGATTATACTGGATGCTAAGAAATTAGTAATTAAAATATCAGACCATGAAAATGTTGCTGATAAGTTGATAAGCGAAATAGAGTCAGTTTTTACTCAAATTATTAATATGAAACGGGTAAAAAGATTGTTTACTTAATTTATATTAATTTATGATTACCTATATGAATAAGTATGAAAATATATTAAATTTTTATTATTTGATTTGTAGTAGTGTTAATTAATTAATTTGAACAGATTAATAGGATTCTTTGATATAACAGTAGTAATCATATTTATAAGGATAGAAATTAATTGCTAATTGTAATATTTTATATTTTATGCATGCCTAGTATCAAGAAGAAGTAGAAATTTTGAACACAAAAGCGAATCAAAGACCACATGTACAATTAATCGCAAATATATATAGGGAAAGTAAATATTTGCAAGAAATACAAGCACAAAATAAGCAATTGAAAAATGCATTGGAAGATCACCAGAATGCCCTTGAATTAATAATGTCGAAATACAGGCAACAAACTTCAGCGTTATTACGTCTATGTAAACTGGACCCTACTTCGTTACATAATTCAAAATATGCTAATGTAAGTATCCTGTTCAAAATATCAGTGTCATTATTTCGTATTCATTATTATAAAATGAGAATGTTGTATGTAAGTCTATAATATAGAATTTTTAATTTTAAGTAAAAAAGTTATAAAGTATATTGTCTGCTACTTTTATCTTACAAGAAGAGCCCAAGATCCTCTGGTCACAGATTTTGCTGAAACTTTGTATACTAATAGATATTGTTGTCTTGTTCATATAATGTAAGTGTAGATACTCAATAGTTTTTTAGATAATTGTTAAAGTTTTATGAAACATATTTTACTATCTAAAGGAGTGTATCAATAGAAGTTTCGATAGTATGATGGTAGTATCTATCTTTGCAATGATATTTTTAAAATTTTTTTTTCAATTGGTCTATTTATATAAATTATGTTTCATACATAAAAACACGTACATAATTTTAAACAATATTCAAATGACATATCTTAATTTATTAAAAAAAGTTTCAATTTTATTTATGTTATAGGTGTTGGAAATATCAAATCATCAATTGTATATAGTAGTGATTTTTACTACAAAACGAAAGATAAAATTTTTATACAAAAAACTATAATAATAAATAAGTGTACAGAATATATAATATATTAATATTTAAATTAAAGTAGACTTCCGCCATACCGGAAAACAGAAAAGCATCACATAAATTACAATGAATGAATGTATTTCGATTTACCACAATCATCGTGATTATTTAAAATTAGATATGTGTTTTTATATGCGAAATATAATTTACATAAATAGATCAATTGGAAAAAAAATGAAAAAAGAAGTACATCGCACAGGATTCTAACTCGAACTTACAGTTTACAAATTTAGTAAGCTACCGTCACACCATTGCATTTCTAATAATATGCATTTTCAGATAATAAAACATATTTCTCATAAAACTTTAATAACTATTATTTAAGAAACTATTGAGTATGTATGCCTATAATGCTATATTTTCATGAACAGGGCGACAATATCTATTAGTATACAAAGTTCCAGCAAAATCTGTGACTCAAAGACTGTGCACTCTTTTGTTAGATCCTTTACCTTCATATTAATTAAAGTGACAATTGTTGTTTATAATTTATATGTAAACTTATAGATAATTACAAGTCAAGCTGAAAAAATTAATGAGATGGCAGCGATAATGAAAACTGCAGCTACCATAGATGAGGAAACTGAATTGAAAGAAAAAGAGATGTATTATAGTTTAAAAGAAGAAAATGCAACATTAAAGGAAATAGTTAATATTGCTAATAAATATGGTTCCCTAAACAAAGAAATTGAAACAGATAATAAAACGGTCCAAACAGATTCTGTAACCGTATAAAGACATGTTTTAATGTACACACTTATATAAAGTTCGTATTATTTATTTCATATTTTATAGCATAATTAATGTCAAAAAAAGTGTATTATCTATATGCAATAAAGTGCACGTACAATATATGTACACAATAAACATTTTTAATGAATTTTATTAAAAAATAATATTTCTAATTGTTGTTTTCATTTCACGTCATTATTCCGAATAATAATCATCGATTTCCAATTAAAATTCAATTATTTTCTTTAATGAAAAGACGGGAAGGACCCAATTTTCAGCACGCAATGAAATCGGAACATTCGAATATTCCCGCATGTTTGCGCATGTGCTCGAAAAGTTTAGTAATAATAGCTATGCTTTCCTAGGGAAAAGAGAAATTGTTCATTTGCTATATATATTTTCAAAACAGTTGAAGATCCATCCTTTTTAGTTGGATGTCCGTGTTCAATGAAAGGTATATATAAGCACAGTATACGTGCTTGACGGGAATCAACGGGCGACGTTATATATTTGATATTTATTATCTGTATTTGTCGCGCTCAACTATACGAGCATACGCTATCTATTTAATTACATATGTAGTACGTATATATATAGTATAATAACCGCAGTTCCATCTACATTCTGCCCTCCCATAGTAGCACCGTTAATGTGCATCGTGAGATACTAGTGAGCTCCGTTTAAAGAGAGTGTAGGGTGGTGTGGGTGTGCACACTGCTGGGGAGGACAGACGCACAAGTGAACGGGTGATGGCAAGGAGTGGAGGTGATTTTTAGTGATCTTTAACAAATGGCTCTGTCCGAGGTGCACAATTTGGCTGCAATTATCGGCAACAATGGTTTTACAGTTAACAAGGTAAGCAACCATATTTCACTGTCTCTGACTTCATCACCGAAAAAGTGACGTTCATCTTTCTCTACTGCAAAGTACAACGCGATCGTTCCAACATAATGCGTAGAGAAAGATATAATTGTATTGTTTAAGAGATATTTAACGACCGAGTAGATGAAAAGTATTACGTCTATTACATCAAAGAATTTATTACTTACGTTATTATATCACGATAACTTAACGAGTGAGAACGATTTGAAATTCATTCGCTTTTAATGAACAACGATATTACAATATCATTCACAATAGATTTAAATTTCAAATAATCAGTTCTGGCATTGGGCTGTAAATAGAGAATTAATGTGTGCAATTTAGTAGTTGTATTACAATATTCATTTTTGTGTGTGTATAATCACCTTAATATGTTATTTTAATAACATTTTACTTTTAGTTACATACACATTATTGTAAAGAAATCACTTTTGTGTACTTTTTCTTAGTATTTTTGTACTATTGTAAAGTACTGCAATATTTGTTGCAATTTATTTGTAGTGTGAAATTAATAATTTTTTTAGAATAATATGGTTGAACGTAACATTAGCATGTTGGAACCACGAAATAATTATCCAGCTGACCGTTGCAATGCAGAATATCATTACTGGAACTATGACTTAATGGAATGTAATGCCCAAAAAAATGTAAGCAATTTGAAATAATAATTGTACTTTGTATATTATTTAAAAAGTTAAATAAATATAAAATAATCTTTTTTAATTTGAAACATTATAAGATATTATTTTGTAACATTTTATGAGTTATATTTAAATATTGTTTATTAAATGTATAATATAGTTTATGTATATAATTCAGCAAAAAATATTTTATTATAAACAAATGAATTATCTGAAAATAATTTCATATATAAAACTAATAATGCAACTAATACTATGAATTACTTACTTTTTATTTTAACACATTCATTTATTAAGTACGATGTAAATTATATATATATCCATACACTATCACATTTATATAATTAAGCGATTTACCTATTTTCTTCAAATATATTTACACATATTTTATCTAAGAAAATTACTTTATACTGAGTAAAATTAATGGTTGTATGTAATTTATATAATTATGATATCAGATTTATTATAATTTACAATACATTAGTTAAAAATGTTATATATGGATTACTAAAGATGAAGATTTTATTGTATTAATGTAATATTTTAAATATTCTATTTAGATGAATGTGGAAGATGAAGACAGTCAGGATTTAAATAATTCTATGGTTAATGATTTGGTCTCAAAAATTCTTGACGATGATTCGATTGTTGGTGACAATGCTCACAGTAATAGATATAATGGCGATATTCAATATCATTTAGACACACAATCTTCTATTATGGAGAATAAAATGGAAAATAACACAGATCTTAATCTTGCTAATATAGACCAATTTAATATGCATTCTACATTCAGTAAATTACAAAACAGTGTTTCCAATAACACTAAACTTGAATGTAGTTATAACAATCTTTGTAGAGAACTTAAAACATTGAGTCTCAATACATGTGCAAGACAAGTATCAGAGCAAGAGAATTTATATAGTAATGGAGTTCATGCATATCCGAATATGTACTCATCTGATTCACAGTCATATGTATTACGTCCAAATAATGAAAATTCATGTATTAGTGGAAACACTATGCCCCTGTGTAATGACTTGTTAACAACAACAAACGAGACAAATTTAAATAAGGAGTCTACTAATTGGTCAGAAAATTTATCCACTACGGGATATACATCAGATTTATTTGGAAATTATCAACGAATGCAAAATTGTACAAATCCGCATCTTAATATTAATATGGCTCTAACATTGGCATTAGATTCTCCTGATCCAATTACTCTTAATGAACTGGAGTATCATAATAATATTAGACAAAATGGTACTGCTAATACATATAGTAACCCTACAGCTACTATGCATGAGTTGTGTAGCATGACTGCCAGTAATCAAAGTTATAGACCAAGCTCAGCGATGACTGATTTAAGTATCGATTCTGGTTTTCTCTCAAATTCTCCGTTGCAACACTTTTCCCCGGCTGACACAAACCTGCACAATTGTTTTGGGAATAATATACAACGCAATAATGCCAGTGACTATAAAGATTTACAAGATTCGGGTAGATTAAGCATGGCAAATATCTCTATACAAAATGAACAATTGCAATTTTTGCAACAAGCTCGTAGTTACAAATTGGATCAAGCTGTGGACCAAGAATATAAACAACTAATCGACTATTATCCAGGCGTGAACGACTTTACCACAACATCGATCAATAGCTTAGACACAAATGAGAACTGTCTTTCAAATAACGATTACAGAGTTGATAACAATTTATTGAAAATTAACAGTCCAAAATCTAAGACTATCGAGACTAAGACATATTCACCAATTGGATTTCCAAAGAATTTAAGTTCACGACATACACATCAGTCAATTGCAAAATATGGATACTATAATTATCAACCTTACACTGCCAATAACGGCGAGACTTTTAAAATGTTACCACAGAGTTCTACATCGTATCATGACTTGAAACAGCCTAATAGCACTAATACGTACAAAATGGAAGGAATAGATCTTACTAAAAAAATACCTTTTCCTTCCGTGAGTCATTTGACCAATCAAATCGCAGGGTCTTCAGTGAACAAGAATACTTTTAATTACATTGTAAAACAACGACATCATATGCCAAGAATACAGAATACTCCTGGTATTTCATCGGGAAATGTGCTATTTAATTCAGGAATAGTACCAAATCCAAGCACAGTAAGGTCCGGACTATTCCCATCGGTGATGCCAGTTCCTGTACCACTTCCAGTTTCACGTCTATTTTCTGTACTCTATGGTGGTGGTCTAAGTCTCAGAAATGGAAGTGGGACAGCTAGACGTACAGCCCCTTCAAGTATACTTCACTTTAGATTGGAGCAAACCTACAAACAATTTAAGCAATTGGAAAAGGAACGAAAGAAATGCGAAGCTGGGTTAGCTGCTCATTTTCCTGGCAAAAGAGTAACAAGTGCAAACAATATCCCCATTCCTCGCCTTCAAGGAAATCCATCACGTGTAGATCGTTTAGTTATCGACTATTTAAGAGAACATGCACGTGTCATAACATTGATTGCAAAAGTAAGTACTTAAACATTGTTGTTGCATTGCGAATAGCACAATATTGTATGTACAATGACCACATTTTTTAAATAGATGGAACAACTGCGAGGGACCACAATGAATCGACGCGTACATAAAGCTATGGAGTACTGGTTAGAAGCAATAAAATTCGTCCAAGAATGTCGCAAACGAGAAATCGCCAATGCAACAAAATGTCAGAAAGAAAATCCACCATGTATGCTTGTATATGATGATAATGGTAAGTATATTTATTTGCTTATGAAATTACTTTATATATAAAATTACTCTAAAACTTGTTTCATTGGTAAGAGAATTTATCGAGTATTAGAGAAAAAAATCAAAAATTCATAGACAGATTTCATAGAAACGATAATGAATATGCTAAACCAATTTAAGAAAGTTTAATAATACTTATATTTTATTTCGAAGCTAACGGAATTTTTAACATTGTGCAAAAATTTTCATTTATTTACATATCGCAATATAGTATGTAGATAAGTTGATCGAACTGAGCTTTTCCATTCACAGATATACTAACTTTGGCTACCAGCGTTTACGAATTGACAAAGGCATCTCGGTATGCGCGAACTGGTATGTATAACGCATTACAAGCAACATTGTTGTATGACTTGGACATTGAGAAAAAGGTCGTTGAAACTTCGAAAGATCCAGTTCTTGTGATAAAACGCAATGAAAGTCAGGTAGGCGACTATTCGAACTGTACCTAGCAAAATTTCGAAAGGTGCTTCACCACTTCATGCGACGAAACATAGACCGAATCCAGCAGCTTTTTACATACGTATTCCGTGTTACGTTTCTGAAAAGCTTTTGCTGGCGTTTTATCATAATTTTATCGCTGAAAGAACAAAAAAAAATGCCGCCCACTAATCGCAGAA